TTCTCCAGTTTCCTTTGAGATTTCAGATTCTCTCACAACTCTGCAGAGTTTCCCATCTCGCACGTGACTGCCATTTCAGACTTTCAATCCCAAACCATGTTTTAATTTTATCACGTAAAGTGGCATTTGGTATATGTAGCAATGAGGATGAAAAACGTTCGATATAAGATTCTTGTAAATCAAATTGCTAATAATATCTCTAACACGTTAAATATATGTTTAAATACTCTTTTTTCTCTACGTATTTTGTTTTTAATGGTTTTTTACTTTTATTCATTCTACGGTCATTCTAACCTTCGTGTTAATCTTTATACTTTAACAAATGACTATTTTGGTTCACTAATTTTCATTTATATATCATTTATTTAAATCAAAATTTTTGCATGATAATTTACTCACTAAATTTTTTAAAATGTATCGAATATGAGCTTAGTTCAATTGGTACGGTTAAAACACCTATTTCAGACTAAAATATCATGAGTTCGAATCTCTATCCCATATCAAAATGAATTAAAGTTGAAAGTATAGAGACCACATTTTATAATTTGTTTGGGATGACTTTTAAAAAGTGTAGTCTTAGATAAAAACTACTTTTTCTACCCGCACTTTTAGAATAGTTATTCATTTCTGACCAGTCTAGTATAGTTTATTGAGAGATTTTTTTAAAACTAAAAGTACTTCTAAAAAAAATAAAGGAATATATATATTTTTTAAAATTAGATTGCATTGAAATTCATTTTTAAAGAAACATTTGGAGATGATTATTCATATTGATTTGACACTTTTGTAGTTAGCTCACCGGTTAAGAAATTTTGCTCATTTCCTAGAGGCTGTACCTTTATCTTCATATTTTGTTATGATGCATTCCATAGATATTTTGTCACATTAAATTTCTTTCCCCTTAGAAAAACAACTAGAAGATAGAGACAATAATGAATGTCAATTTGAATATAAATTACTGTGAATCGTAAGATACTTATTATTATTATTATTTTTAGTACAACAATTTGGAGGTATGGAGGATCAAATCTCCAACCTCGAGGAAAGGAGTACATGTCAATTACCGTTGCATTATGCTCGTGTTGGCAATCATAAGATACCTATTATTTTTCTTAATGTTAAAAGTTTGATCCTCAATCTCTATGTTTATTGAACTAAAAGAAGTAGCAATAAGAACAAACATGAGAAAGCGCATATATATATATATATATATATAAGGATTAAAAAAGGTAATATGGTTACTTCTCCTCATAAATTCAAATTTAATTATTTTAGTAAAACACCAACTATTAAAATTTTAAAATTCTTTTCAAAAGTTAAAAGCAAAAACGACAATTGACAAATATCTCTAACCAAGAGGTTATAAGTTGGATCCCTCACGCACGTGTTGTATTAAAAAAAATAATAGTAATTAATTTAAGTAATTAAATTTTTGTTAGTTATTTATGTTGGGTGTAGGAGTCTTTTATGTAAATAACGATTATATCCATGTCAAGCATCTGTCTCTTTAAAAATGGACAACTCAACAAGTTTTCAACAATATAGAATTTCTAAATATATATATTGGATCGATTTAATAAAATTAAATGATAGAGATATGTTTCAAGGCGTCTATTTCTTCTTTTACAAATGAAAATGGCCTTATCTTATATGGATGCAATGTAATTGGTTCAATGGGTGTCATGTGAAGTTATAACAAAATCATATCTTAAGAAAGCAATCTAATTGTTTCAAAAAAAAAAAAAAAAAACAGAGAGAGAGAGAAAAAAAGGAAAACAATCTAATAGGAGGCGTAGGTTAATAAAGACCCTACCCATATTATTATTATTATTATTTTGACAAAGGCCCTCCACTAGTTCAAGGATTAAATAAATAAATATATATATAAATTATATTTTGTAAATTTTATTAAATTGAAAACTCATTTAATTAAAAGAATCATTGAAAATTTAGGAGACGAAGATCTTGATAATGACTTCCACAAATTCATATCAAATTTGAAAGCTTCATTCACTTCATTTATTTATGGAGTATCTAATTACATTGTATAACCTCTTTTTTAAAAATAAATAATATATATAATTTGTACAATTTTTGTTATACCAAACATGAATTCTATAAACAATGAAATTCTATATTTTCATATATAATTTAATAAGAACTCCATTGTCTAATCAACTTTTGTTTGAGTTTTCAGAGTGGAAAATATTAAATTGAACTAAGTCGAAACTTTTTCAATATCATTTTCATGGGGTTAGGTTTGGATTAGATGTTAATGTGGCTTTGACTAGTCTTCCGAGGTTTAAAATTTATTTTGATAAAATTATTTTATGTTCTCTTAAATAAATAGACTTACATCTACAAAATAATTATTTTATCAGGAACAACATTATCTCCTATCTTTTGAAAAATGGTTATTTCAACCCACATTTTTATAATATACAAAAATAACGTATATTTATTAACACGAGCATATGTCATAACACAAATGGTCATTCATTAGTGTTTCAATTTATGAATTAGGTTTAGATCCTCCCCTACTTATATTTGCAACCGTGTCAAATATATATTATTAAATCAGAGTAATGTGATATTTCATAATGAAAATTACATAAAATAATATATATTTAGGACATTACATTATTTATTATTTATTAAAAAGTGTATTCATAAGTTTTCTTCAAAAGAACATTTATAATTGTGTTAAATTATGATATTAGCGTTCTCACAATTATGATATTATCGTTCTAAATATATATGTATATATTCTCTTGCATCTATTCTGATAGATTCATAATTCAATATATGCTACAATACGAGATCCGACAAGAAGAAACTATGAAAATGATAATTTCTAGAATGATGAAAATAAAAATACACAAAATCAAAATTGCATTAGGTTTCTTTTATTAATTTAACAAAAAATGGTAAGGAAATCTAAAACTTTAAAAAAAGTGAAGGGATTAAATGCAAGTTGCTTAATCATGGTAAAATATTAGATGCAAATATGTGATTTCAACGGGCTAATTTTAGATCCTATACTTAAAAATATTTTTCATTGCAGTCTCTCTACTCTTAGAACTTAGAATGTCTATTTTTGTTCCTATATTTTTAAAAAACAACCATTTTAATTTCAATATACAAAATTTTAACACAAATTTTATATACAAATGAAAACTTTTAATACAAATTTATGCTACATTTAAAAAAAAATTTACTGAGTAAAGTGTCATACAATAGGATAAAAATGAAAATTTAAATAACCAAAATGACTTTTTAGATCCAAAATGAATATTTCAAAAGTAAAAAAAAATAAAAAATAAAAAATACATGGACCAAATGAAGGAAAGTTCGAGGAACCGAGTGTTATTAAAACGCAAATATTATTCTTTAATATGGCAATCTAAGATCCACCGTTGGATTGAAAAGGTAGGATCTCATTAATTGAGAACTTTAAAGAAGATGAGGGGTAAAAACGACCGGTCGTGTAAATATGTCATTAATGTAAAAGGAAATATTGTTGTAATGAAACGTCGCTATCTGATGTGCATTTCACGGTGACAGCATCAGAGGATCACATTTGCTATCCATCTCTAAATTATATCATTTTCTGTGGCAACTAAATTCTCACTTTTTTCTTTTTCTTTTTTAAATCCTCTCTTACATTATTCAATCGATTTTGGTTTAATTTGGTTGTTTAGTGGTATTTTTGATCCTATGCTTCCAATTTTTATTTATTTTAGTTGTCGTGAACTTTCAAATTTTCAACCTTGACCATTGTACTTTAAAGAACGTGACCGTCTTAGTATATTTATTCTTATTTTTATCTAACTTCTTTGAATCATAATTTTAGCATACCACTTTAGTCAATAAATTTATTGAATTGTGGCCATGAATTTGTACAAAATGGTTTGCATTGTTTATAAAATTTGTATGAAAATTTTACAAATCAAGAACCAAATTGGTCACTTTTTAAAAATAGGATGTTTTGAAATTACAAAGAATATAATAAATAAAATTTGAAAGTATAGTGACCAAAATGAATGTTATAAAAGTACATAAATCAAAATATTATTTAAATCAATATTTTATATTTTCATCACCAATTATATTAATCTCATATTTTTTAGTTATATATGGTAAAACTCTTACAAAAGATTCAACCAAAACAACAGTTTGATGGTGTAAACTGAAAAAGTAATACAAATATAAAATAATCCTAAAACTAGACCTCTGTATCATATAATTCATACTCGATATTCAGAGCCATAAACTTTTGACTAATGAAAGCATGCACCTTCCATTTTAGGATAATCATTTTCTATAAAAATTTTTTTTTTCTAAACCTAGAGCTAAACAATAAACATCCATTTCTCATCCACATTTACCAAAATTGATATAACATTGGAAAAAAAAAAGAAAGAAAAACTGACGGCCGTGACAATTTTCCAACATCATATGCAAAAGCAATATTATTCTTGTACAGAGTTAAATTTAAACAAATACTATATAGAATATGGTTCATATGAATATATAGTATATGGTCAATTTAGGAATATGGCAGAGTGTCGGAGGGTAAAATGGAGAAAAGTGTTTACGTTGCCAAAAGGGGGTGAAATGTGTGATGATGAGGTGAAGTGAGCCGCTTCCACATATAATTGCCCATTGAAAAATTTAGCCATTTATAATTTCTTTGACTTTAAAAAGTAATTTTCTTTCTCTTTCTCTTTTTCCTTTTTTGTTTAATATTTAAATAATAACAATAACAATAATTAAATTAAATATGAATCTACTATACTACTGAACTCGAAGCTCAACAACTAAACGGCAATAACCGGCCAATCCGCAGCTCCGAAGCTGCCGAGATTTATAGGCGACGTGTCGAGAGACCATTGGACGTGGGGGAGACGCGCCAAGACGCGGGTGGTGGTGAAATATGTGGGGGAGGTGGGGGAAGGGGAAATCAGAAATGCAGTATTAGGATGGTAAGAGTTTGCTCTGAAGCTTTTTGGTTTCCTATAATATGCAATTTCTTGCCTTTCTCACTTTGGCTCTTCCGAGTTCCCAATCGTTACAAAAGATCCCATTTTTTTTTTAGAGGCTGAGTCAACTCGGCTCTCTCTCTCTCTCTCTCTCTCTCTCTCCATATCTCTGAATCAGCTCTCTGTCTTTTTTTCTCTCTGTTTTAAGGCCCTAAGCATTCGGGTTTTGGAGTTCTTGTAGTTCTAAAGGTTTTTTTGGAGGTGGGAATTCCTCCTTATCCACATATTCTTTTTTTTTCTCCCCCTTTTTGGTTCAAATTAGTCTTCATTTACTTTGTCGTTGTTTCTGTTTCTCTTTTGGGAAGTTTTTGGATTTTTTGATTGTTTCTTCTGGAAAAGAAGTACATTTTCGAATTGGGAAAATTTTGGATTTCTTATGGGGTTTTGAAGAATCGATCTGTTTGTGAGGTTTTGGGGGCAGAGTACAGCAGAGGATGAAGAACTCGAAGAGGAAGAAGAAAGAGTCGGGTGACTCGGACGAGTCGAGTTTCCCAGATGAAGTTTTGGAACGAGTTCTGAGCTTGGTTAAGTCCCACAAAGACAGAAGCTCTGTTTCTCTGGTTTGTAAGGAATGGTACAACGCCGAGCGCTGGTCCCGGACCCACGTCTTCATCGGAAACTGCTACTCTGTCTCGCCGGAAATTGTAATCCGCCGGTTCCCCAACATCCGGAGCGTCACCATTAAAGGGAAGCCCCGGTTCTCGGATTTCAATCTCGTGCCTCCCAATTGGGGAGCCGATATCCATTCCTGGCTCCTTGCCTTCGCTTCCAAATCCCCAATTCTCGAAGAATTGAGGCTCAAGAGGATGGCCGTCACAGACGAGAGCTTGGAATTTCTGGCTCGTTCCTTCCCAAATTTCAAATCCATTTCACTCATGAGCTGCGATGGCTTCAGCACCGATGGGCTTGCCGCCATTGCCACACACTGCAAGTACGTCTTCGTTTAATTCCTTCTTCCTTTCTCTTCCATTTAAAACTGTGATTCGTTAGAACCAGATCTGGGTTGTTCTTAGAAAAGGGATTTCTTTTTTCTTTCTGAGATGATGTATTGATTTCTTTTTGCGTTAGATTCTGGGGTTTCTGTTGTGGTTATGAAATTAAAGCAGTATTTGGTTTGGTTTGGTCACTGATTCGTTTCTTTGAATTTGCTGCTTGCTTTTATATGGGGTTGCTCCCAACAGTATCATGTCGGAATCATACTGAAAAAGTTTTGAACTTTATTCATTTATACGAAAAAGAAGAAATGGAACTCATAATAAATACGATTGTTGGTACTGCGTATAATTCTGTTATGGTACCTATTATAGCATCACTGCTTCTGCTGATTTAAACTTTGATGAGAAATTTTCTCCAACTTTTGGCTCTCTCCACCTCTCATTTTCTGTTCCCCTTTTTTCTTGGATGCGACATGTAACCTGCTTTTCTCTGTCATACGGTCGTTGGCATATCACATCCTTGCAACTTTGTCTCCATTATTATCAAGTGGGTCATTAATTAATTAGTGATGATTTGGGAAGATCAGCCATTTGAAAAAGTCTGGCCTTCTCCCATTTTTTTTTCCCTTTTTTTACAGGAATCTTCAACCTACTGCCATGGCTCCCCACTGATTTGCCAGCTCCCCAAATCTGTAGTTTCTTTAAAGAAGCTTCAATGGGGGGAAAGAATGTGCCCTTTTCTTTGAGGCCACCGTTTGTGCAATAAATTCTGGAATTTATGACATGTCCAGATGTAGACATGTAAATTAAGAGCGATCTTTTTGGACAGATTCTTAAAAAAGTAGAAAACAACTGAATGTGTGTTTTCAAAATGTGTTCTTAATAATTCTTGGGAAAGACATCTGAAGAAAATGTTTGTTTCTTGCGTGGTAGGAAGTTGACTGATCTTGCCCTACGAGTCCTCAGGTTTTTCTGTTTTTGCCTTTTTTGATCTCTTGTTTTTGCCTTTTGGTGACAGGAACTTGACGGAGCTTGACATACTTGAGAATGACATTATTGACAAAAGTGGAAATTGGCTGAGTTGCTTCCCGGATACATTGAAATCTCTGGAAGTACTAAATTTTTCCAGTTTGAACAGCGATGTCAGTTTCGAGGCCCTCGAGAAGCTGGTAAGAAGGTGCAAATCATTGAAGGTTTTGAAGGTTAATAGGAACATAAACTTGGAACAGTTGCAGAGGCTGCTTGTTCACGTTCCGCAGTTAACTGAGTTAGGCACGGGCTCTTTTTTGCAAAAGATCACTCTTCGGCAGTACTGTGACCTCGAAGATGCGTTTAAGAACTGCAAGAATCTGCATACCCTCTCTGGTTTGTTGGAGTCGACGGTGTTGTATCTCCAAGTTCTGTTTCCTGCCTGCACGAATTTAACTTTCTTGAATCTGAGCTACGCAACTCTGCATGGTGGCGAACTTGCAGGACTTCTTTCCCACTGTCCCGTTCTTCGTCGCCTTTGGGTACGACCCGTTTTCCCCTTCCTTTCTTTAGTTCAAGCACATCGGTGATGAGATATCTCCTTCTGTAACTGTTTACCATTGATTTGAATACTTCAGCTTCTAATATCAGGTTCATTGTGCAGGTTTTAGACACAGTTGAAGACAAGGGCCTGAAGGCTGTTGGAATAAGTTGCCCCTTGCTAGAGGAACTCCGTGTATTTCCAGCGGATCCGTATGCTGACAATCTAGTTCACGGTGTAACCGAGTCTGGGTTTCTTGCTGTCTCTTATGGCTGCCGTAAACTCCATTACGTTCTCTACTTCTGTCGCCAGATGACGAATGAGGCTGTAGCCACCATTGTGCAGAACTGCCCAGATTTCACCCATTTTCGTCTCTGCATCATGAACCCTGCCCAACCAGACTATCTCACAAATCAATCAATGGACGAGGCCTTTGGTGCTGTGGTGAAAACTTGCTCGAAACTACGTAGACTTGCCATTTCAGGCTTGCTAACGGACTTAGCATTTGAATACATCGGTAAATATGCGAAAAACTTGGAAACTCTTTCAGTGGCTTTTGCTGGAAAGAGCGACTATGGAATGCAGTGTGTTATGAATGGTTGTCCAAAGCTGAGGAAACTGGAAATTAGAGACAGCCCCTTTGGAAATGCTGCATTGCTTTCGGGTATGGAGAGGTACGAATCCATGAGATCGCTATGGATGTCTGCCTGCAAGGTGACAAGGAATGGGTGCCGAATTCTGGCAAAGCAGGTGCCTAGGTTGAATGTCGAGGTCATCAAGGGTGACAGCTGCGGGAGTGATGAGGCTGAAAGCGTTTACGTATATCGCTCTGTTGCTGGTCCAAGAAAAGACGCCCCATCCTGCGTCCTCACCCTCTAAATGTTTGTAAGTATCAATAATTGTTTGGCTTTACAAAAACGAAGTTCGAACTCAGAAAAAGAATAACAAATCAATGGTTACATTCGGGATCAGGTATTGCTCAAACAAACACCATCCATAAGGAATACATTCGAAGACATCCCGAACGCCAATTCTGCGATGGAAATATGTGCTTTTAGTTTTTGCATTTGATCATTCAATCACCTCACTATACTGTTCTGATATGAAGTGGTCCATTGTGTATTGCAGAGGCGAAAGTAGTGATTAACTGTGGCACCATATCCGTTTCCAAGATGGAGAATCGCAGAGAGAAGGAAAGGCAGAAAATTTTGGAAATGTGTTTGATAATAAGGCTTTAAAGAGAGTGGATCGCCAATCCGGCTGAGGTGTATCAAAGCAATTGCTGAAACCAGAAAATGGGAAGATGGAAGATTCTGAAATGGATTCAAACAGTCGAAAAGAGAGATGGTTGGAGTTGGAGGCTGTTTCTTCTGTTCCCATGGAAGGGGAAAATCCCAACTGGTTTCTGAGTAATGATTATTATGGAGGGTGGGTTTAGGAGTTGGAATAATTGAATTTCTTCCTTTTTTTTCTCTTTTCTTTTTAATTTCAAAATCATAGTGGTTGGACATTAGACTTACATCCAATGTGCAAGATCAGCCAAATCTTTATTCATGGTGATGAATGTGAGAAAACAAAAGTTACAAAAGGTCTTCCTCATTAAACCAGATGAGATCCCACCTTTATGATCTCTCTTCTACTATATCCTTAAATCCAACAATTAACATGTTCTATACTCATAAATCACATCCAATGATGGTGTCACAGTCAAAACTACTTGAGCTCCTTCTATCATCTCTAACCCCCCTTCAGTTTGGTAATCGTTATCGGTCACAAATCTTGACCAATACCAATGCGTCTTCCACACTCGACCCATCTCTTCAATTGGGATGCCCTTGGTTTCGGGCAGGAAGAAATAGATGAAAACCGTCATCACACACACGAAGAAAGAAAAGAAAATGAAGAGACCGAACTTCATGTGACAGAGCATTGACAAGAACACTTGTGCTGTTGCAAATGTAAAGAACATGTTTACGGATACGTTGATACTTTGAGCGACAGGTCGTATTTCCAAAGGGAAAATTTCACTGGGGACAAGCCAACCAAGAGGACCCCAAGACCAAGCGAAACCTGCGACATAATTGCAAATGAAAAGCACCACCACAATTGCATACCACTCTGGCAATTTGTCTACAGTTCCACTCACCCCAAATTTAGCTCCTATTGCTGCTGTTACAACAATCTAGGAAACAGAACAACCAAAAAACCAAGCTCAAAGTCCCATCTAGAATTGATTGTTAAACTCTTAAAAGTGAAGAACAATACCTGACATATCAACATTTGAAATCCTCCCTCGAGAAACAGGTACCTCCTCCCCCACTTATCGATGCCGTAAATCGAAACGATGGTGGCAAGCACATTCCAACACCCAGTGATGATTGCAGACATTAAAGAAGCATCCGATTCGAAGCCGATCGTGTTGAACAGGACCGGAGCGTAGAACACGATGACATTGATGCCGGTGAGCTGCTGGAAGGCAGGAATCAATATGGCCATAGAAAGGTGGGGTCTGTATTTCCTGAGCAGCAAGTTTCTCCATGGATTTTTGACTTGTTTAGAAGCTTCACTTGCAGCAACCAAGTCTCGAAATTCTTCTTCAACGTCTCCAACACCACGAATTCTTCTGAGTTTGTTTCTTGCTTCATCGTGTTGTCCTCTCTCGATCATGGAATTGGGGGTGTCAGGGAGGAGCAGTGATCCAATGGTGATTATGAGAGCAGGGACCATGGCTCCCCCCAAGCTCAGCCGCCATCCCCAACCACCCTTTATCTTCACAGAGAAGAAGTTAACAACATTGGCTATGAGGATGCCGACTGTGATTGATAACTGGAAGAAGAAGTTCAAAGCGCCTCTGTATTTGTGGGGAGCCATCTCGGAGAGGTAGAGGGGCACAGACTGTAATATACAACCAATTAAGTTCAAACAAAAATGGGGTTAATTAGAATCAGTTCAAACAAACATGTACCTGATTCGTGAACCCAATGCCGAAGCCGAGTAAAAGCCGGCCAAGAATCAGCATCCAAACGGCTCCGGCAAAGGCGTTGATGATGGCACCGCCGCAGAAGAGCAGGCCGCCGGAGAGCATGGACAGCCTCCGGCCGAGCTTACGCGTGACCGTGGACGCCACCAGCGACGCGAGGAGGGCAGCTAAGTAGAGGGACGAAGTGAAAATTGTGAGAGTCTGACTGTCGTAGTAGCAGTACCGGTTTTTGGCCGGCACCATCTGGTTTTTTCTCCGGTACAACTCCGGGAAGAATTTCTCCAGAAAAGAGTCCATCGACGTGACCCCACCTTAAAAATCCAACCCCAAATAATTAAAATTGAAAACCCACCATAATTTTTCTCAAAATACAGTCAATTAATCACGAGTGAAAGGTACCTGAAATGCCAATATCATAGCCGAAAATGAGACCACCCATGGCGGCGACAAGGCATGTAACGGTGACAAAGGGAGTGAGGTTTCCGGGGTAGTTCCGGTGAGCGTCACCGGAGAGGGTTTCTCCGGCATCAGACATTTTGAGGAATCATAGAAACAAAGACGAGTGAGCGGAAGCATAGAAAAAGGGAATTAAAAACAAAAGGGCGGCGTCGGGATCACTCACTGTCAAGATGCCACAAGACCAAGGCGTAGCTAAGAAGTCAATGGTGAGTCCCAACACTCTTCCATGTCCATCGTCTACAACACGCTTAGACCCCTTCTGACTTCTTCCATTGGTTGTGGTCATCAAATTTAATCAATCTTATTAACTTTATTAGTTGACCATCAATACACCGCAACATCCCGAGGCTCATACCTGAGTGAGCATGGCACCCGGACCCATCCCATTGAGCACGGTTCGACTCCGCTTGCTATCCCGAGCCTCCAAGCTTGCATCAATTTAAATATACGCTATTGGATCATGAATTAACATAGCTACTGACACCAGATTTATCCTCCAATTGATCTTCTTGAAGGATTTAGATCTTACTCATTTCAATTACTATACCCGAAATTGACATGTGTTTTTTTCTTCGAAGTCGGAAGGTTGATCTCTAATATCCTTGGTCGTAAAAAAAGACTTCACATTTTCTTTTTCCTCTCTCTCTATTATTATCACATTTTCACTTTAATCACTCCCACCTCCATACACTTTAATTTCTACCCAATATAATTCAATTAATTAAGAGTGGGAGGTGCACTAAATAATAATAATAATAATAATAATAATAAGAGACCTAGCTCTTAAAAAAAAAAAAGTCAATCTACACCCTACATATTATATTAAAACTATATAGATACTTAAATTTCTCTTTTTTTTTTTTTCTTAAGATAATATACACTCCAATTTCTAAATTTGTAACTTATATTTTTGCCCTTTTCACAAATATTTCACTACCTTTCATTTTGTTAATTTTAGTTTTTCCCACTTTCAATTGCGGTCCTGTTATCGATTTTAGTCTGCAGGGCTTATTTTAATTCCTTTACCTTTAAATAATTATTATTTTGGTTCAACTAAAAAATTATTTAATATAGAAAATAATTTAAAAATTTTATTACGTGTAATGTTAAGTTTAAATGACAACGATAGAAGAAAAGTAAAAAGGAAAAAAAAAAGTTAAAAAGGGAGAAAAAAAGAATATTTTAAAAATACACACGACTAAAATAGACTCAATCTCATATGAACTAGAACCAAAAACTTATGACAACGAATCAAAACTGGTTTGATAAGGACTGTTTTAAGGGTTTCCAGAGCATACATAAATTTCAAGGTTAAAATAATATTAAATTCATCTAATAATTCATGTTCAAAGAATCAAACTTAAAAATCACACTACGAAAATAATTCATCCAAAACTTAGATTTCCAACATAATTTGAAAAAGGCCAAAAGGATAATTTTTTTCCAAGAAAATCAGAACTTTCATAATAATTTAAAAAATAACATGGAGGTTAACTTAAACAAGTACAGTAGATTCAATTTGATTGGATTCGACATATTTTATTATTTTACGTCAAACTAACATATAATCCATTTAATTAAACAAATCATTTATGTCTTATACTAGTAGTAAATAATTCAACAATATAAGTAATATGTTTCAAAAGGTTGGAAGTTTAATTCTTCACTAGAGAAAATGTACAGATACAATTTTGTTATTACACGTGGTGTTACATTTTGTTAACACGTGCGAGCGAGCGTGGAATGAGATTATAATATGGTAGAAGTACCATAAGATCAACATTATATTGTGAGGAGTGTATTGAGATTGACAACAACCCTGTGTTAATCTGACTTTCGCAGTCAAAAAAGACAAGAAAGGCAGCGTAAGAAACATAACTAAAATTGACAGTTTTTTCCATAAATTCAGCAACTTCTCCGCTTAGGCTTATCCATTCAATTCAATTGCTTCATCTGATCCCATCTAATGATGCACTAAATAATATTATTGTTCCCTTCACCAATTGGTATAACAAAACATTTACCGACTCTAAAAATTTTAAATCAGATAGGTTCGTGTTTGTTGATGGAGATCATCGGAAGGATACCTAACATGTAGCTAACGGACCATTAGAAAATATTCATGGCGCAAGATAGAGGACGTATCATCCCTCTCGTACATTTTTGTAGGCACTAGCGACGGTATCTCAAGTACCTCCAAATATCTCTACAATGGTATGATATAGTCCGCTCTGGACATATCCCTTTTGCTTTCACCCGAAAGATCTTGTACCGGAGATAATTATCCTCTTTTATATACTATCTCCTCTAACCGTACGTTTGCAGGGAGTTTGATCTTTATTGCCAGCTGTTGCTATTCGAACCTCACACGTTTCCTGCTTGGTTTTCACTCTCAACCGTGTTCAAATATGGCAAACTCGATAACTTGAGTTTGAGTTTAGTGTTGGAGAATGCATCCTCGATCTCAATCCTTGCCATTAAAACCAGACCAAAAATTTCTCCTCTCAAGCATTATTTGAAATAGAAATTTTGTCTTGTATCCTAAAAAACTGCCACGTATAGATTATAATTAATGGAGGAAAGTTATATTGAAATTTTCTAATAAAAGTTGGATGAAAATCTGCATGTTAATTCTTAATTACATATTGGATACAGAATCAAAATATTTTATAATTTCTCTCTTATATATCATCAAATGGTGCAACTGTCTATAGTCCAATATGCTCTCTGGCCTGATTTTAAAGTTTTTTATTATTATTTTTTTAATGCATGTGGTCAACTAAGAAGTCAAGCCAACCATTTTTGAAGTCGATTTAAAATGGACTTCACTTGGAAATTTCAGAATTAGTTTCTTTCTTTCT